CAAGTTAACCGGTAGCCAAACATTAAATATGAGTAACATTGCATGATTTTTTATATCGCTTAATGATATAAACTCCATAGATTAAACTAACTTTATTTTCACTGAAGCTGTGCCCCCAATCAAACTGCAAACTGAAAAGAAATGAATCATTAGGCCATTAGAATGTGTGCTGCGAAATCATTAACCAACGTTTTGTGGTAATAAAATGTTCACCAACGAATGACCACATTGAAATTGTTATGCAAATTGCAACTAAAAACTGCCTCACCATAAACGTTTGAAAAAAACACTAATTTACAATTATCGAGGAACAAAATTAGGTGAATTAGGTGAAAAAGTTTCTGAGACGTAATTGGTTCAAGGATTAGCTCAAAGTATACAACAACTTACAGCTTTTCATCTGTACAGGATACTACATGTTTTGTGCTAACAAGACTGCATTGCATAAACTGCCACCTGTTTAGAAGCCAGGAAGCCCTTTTTGTAACCTTTTTTATATACAATGGACTCCAGTTTTCATAACTCTAATAATTGCTCAAAAATTTGTGACTGTAAGCAGAGTTTCCCTGAAATGCTTATAACCTTAATGTAACTCAATGATTGTGCTTTTTTAAACACAGACTAATTTTGATGAAAAAGCTCTCCACATTCCATAAATAAAATGAATTTCAAAACCTAGTTCAGTTTTTGCAACTTTAATCTACATAGTGTGAATCAAAATTTTGGCAAATCATGAATGTTAATTGCTCACCTAGGAGAGCATAATTGGTTTGTAAAAAACATTGACAAATCTTTGGTTTTGTCAATTTTGATTCGCCTACTACCTGTCATACTATAATTCACAGGCTGAAATATTTTGCAGAACAGCTACTGAGTGTAGTTTTCAGCATGAGTTAGATTATGAAGTATTTGCTCATGTTATCAACCAACTTAAAAACAACCTAATAAAAATGTTTATAACAATTTTAATAATAAAACAATCATAAAAATGACTTTTTCAGTTCCTGAAAATTAAAGCTCTGAAAAAGTCTGAATAGAATATTTATCATTTTTTGTGTTTTGAACAATGAACACATTTGTTTATATAAATATAGCACAATTTCACTTAATTTTAATTTTAATTTACCTTGATAAAGTGCCATTTTCAATGGTTGTCCTCTTTTGATGAGGTACTCTGCCATCAGTGGCTTGATTCTAAACTTGTTTTCCTCAAGAACATCCTTATCAATATCAAGACCATATATCACCTCCAACATCTGACAGTGGATTTTCATCTTTGTCAAGAGTTTTCCTTCAGAACACCCAATGTCTAACACCTGTTTAAATAATATTCTAAAAAGTAGAAGGGTGCAGGTTGGAAAAAACAAACAATTTTAAACTCAATCAATTAAATTCAATAAAAAATATCAACTTTTAATTACAAATAGGATTTACGAATATGATTCATGTAAGCTTGGACATGTAGAAATGAATTTAAGAGCTACAGAGTCAAGTGCCCAGATAAGTAACATACCAAAATGGAGCCACAAGGAGAATGGCTTCTCAAAATTTTATTCTTTCTATAAATACACCATTAAGAAACGGAAATTTTCTGCGTTTAATGGTGTTTGAAATTTTGAACATGTAGTTTTTTTATGATGTTAACTTTGTAAACCTACTTTTGGTGGTACAAAATTTGAAGATGGCTTTAACAACGCCAAAATTTTACAACATAACTCAAGCTTTTATGTTTGTCTTTTCAAAGCAATTTTCAGATGTTAACGTTATTTTATTCTTCGAGGCCCAGATGTTGAATGCTAGGAAGATCAAGCCACCAATCAAGAATCTTTAGCAGGATCAAAAATCTATTTATTAAAATGACAGAAGTTATACAAACCTTTTTACAATTTGAAGTGTTGATTAGCTTTATAACGGAGTTGTACCTTTGTTGGTATACTGGAGGTGAGAAGATTGGTCCTTGCAAGTAATCTTCTTCATTTTGCATCTTTGATTGGTTGATCGACATTGCTTGGTCGATTATCCAATGTTTTTATGGCTTTCCTGTTTGTTTCATTTTCTGTTAAAATTATTTTTGGATTGCTTTAGCTCTTGTCTTAGGTTGTTCATGTCCCGCGTGCACATGTACCTCGATAACAGAAAGGAAGCAATGATAAGGGAATTCTTGGAAAGGTCTCCTTTTGAAATAGAGGCCACACGAGTCAAATATGATCTTTCAGACCATAGTCAATAGAAAAAACTCTGGTCTGGAAGTCTTTTGTTCTAACTCTTTGTTCGTGTTTATTGAAATCACGTGACCTAAGTAAGGGGACGCGTGAAAACAAGTGTGTAGGATTGTTGTTGAGTTTTGAATGTTTCACGAGAGTATTGGTAATTTTACAATCTATTCTGTGCTGATATTATTAAAACTATGGTCAGCTCATATTGTGCAGTTCAGGGATGGGGCATTTCTGTCACCACTCTTACTCGGAAGTAAGATTTCTTAGAACTTCGCGACGCAATTGACAATATTTTTTTGGCTTGGATAAACGGTATAGAAAGAATAACACGATTGTAAACAATTATTTTAAGCGTCACATTGAATCTGGAGATGTTTTTAGTTGCGAGAACATCGGCGTGGGGAAAAATTGGATGGGTTATTTGCAGCCCCCCTATCTCAGACAAAACTGTCACATTTCCGACTCCACTCGGACAGTTCTATCTCAATGAAGAAACGATTTTCAGGGAAGATCCATGCTCAGCCCCCCTGAACGTCGAACATCCGCTACGCGCCTGGCGAAAACCATTACCAATTTAGAAATTTAAGAAATTTTCAATGCTCTGTTTCTCCAAAAGTCACATTTTGTAGTATGTTCAAGCGAAATGAGGACCTCAATTATTGCAATCTTAAATGTCCTGTCTAGACCTGATAAGAGTTTTGAAACAAAAATACGAGCCTTCGTGGAACATTGATGAAGTCGAGTACGTTGCTGATACAGATATGGTTGAAGTTCGAAGAGCCAAAATAGGGTGTGATCAAAAAACTTATGAAAGAATTTTCAGAGGAATACACAAAGGACAAACAACAGGGCGCCCTCGCCATCATCATTTTGGACCAAGGACCGAGATAGCGGGGGGCCAGGAGCCTTGCCCCCCAAAAACTTAATAGCATAAGTAAAATACTTTTATTTTCTAAAATTTGGCTGTTGCTACACTTATTAATCAGGGCTTTACAACCCCTTCCCCCTATCCCAAAAAAGTAAACAAAATGTTGTATCTCGGTCTCTGTTTGGACAGAACAAAAGTATTCAACGTAGAAACATTGGTTGAAAAGTTGATAGATGAAAAAACAATAGAGCAATCAGATTCGACTTTTTTGCATCCACATTTAATCAGCTATCATCTGTTTTAGGGTGTGAAAAATGTTTTTTGAAAGTTAGTTTTTTTAATCGCGAAGACAGACTTTGAAACGCAGAAACTTTGTCAAAAGCCCAAATGTCATTGTTTTTGACACTCATGGGTCGCCTGTGTGCGCTGGGCCTCACAAAACTATCTGCATCTGCTATTGCGAGAGAAGAAAATGTTCTATCTTGTCCCCTTAATTAGGTCACGTGATTAGAATAAAAGTGTTTTCAAGTTCTAGATGAGAACAAAAGAACAGAACAATGGGCTTCCAGACCAGAGTTGTCTCTATTGACTATGTTCAGACAGACTAGGGCAAGGAAGTGTGGACATTTTACCTGTTTCATCCTGGCAATGTGACAGAAAAAAATCAGGCTTTTTATCAAATCCTATACTAAAGCTTTTTTCAACTTTTTTACTTTTTTCAAACTGACAATTCTGGGGAAATTCTCGGCACGTTGAAGTGTTCCTTGTTTTCATTCATTACATTGATCTACATCGCTGCAGCATGTATTCCTTTGGAGTCCGTCGAGTAGTTTTGTTACCGTGTCCTTTCCTATTTTTACACACTTTTTGTGTATAGTTGTTGAAAAACTAATGTTCAAGGAAAAATAGCATTTAGAACCCCAAATCTAATAATTGCCAAAATGGAACATCAAGACCCGGCAAATACTATCTTGTTAAAAAGTGTAAGGCAGATGCTATTGACAATGTCTACCCAGATGTTCGTCTAGTCTACCCAGACTTTTTGC